ATGTTAAAGAGAAGTGGAGATAGTGGACAGCCTTGTCTGGTTCCTGATTTCAATGAGAATGCTTCCAGTTTTTCTCCATTTAGAAAAACTGTGGGTTTGTTATATATGGCTTTAATTATGTTGAGGTATGTCCACTTCCGTCCAGTTCCCTCTAGGACTTTGAAATCTCTGAAATAAAGCCAGCTTGATCATGGGTGGATGATCTTTTTGATGTGTGTCTGTATGCAGTTTGCAATATTTTGTTGAGAATTTTTGCATCTATGTTCATTAAGGATATGGGGCTATAGTTTTCTTTTTTGGTTGTGTCTTTACCTGGTTTTGGTATGAGAGTGATGCTGGCTTCATAGAAGGAATTTGGAAGTTCTCCCTCCATTTCTATCTTTTTGAATAAATTAAGTGGTATTGGATGTAGATCTTCTTTAAATTTCTGATAGAATTCTGCTGTATGTCCATCTGGTCCTTGGATTTTTTTAGTCAGGAGGTTTTGTATTACTGTTTCAATTTCTTTATGTGTTATGGGTCTGTTTAAGCTGTTAATCTCTTCTTGGTTTAGTTTTGTTCTTTCCCACACCTTTAGATATCTGTCCATTTCTTTTAGGTTTTCAAATTTAGTAGCATATAGGGTTTTTTTTTAGCTTCCAAAATTAAAATTTATTTCTCTTTCTAGGGAACAAGTCAACAAGTGTGAGACAGACATACACAGCCCAAGTAGCCCCACAGCCCCTGCCCAGCTCACAGTTTTACCTGATTTGACAGTCAACACAAGGACAATCAGAGTGGCCTTGTTCCTGCCAGACTGTGCAGCTAGCACCACATGCTAGGAGCCACAACTTGTGCACATGCATAGCCATGTAACACAAACCAACCATTGCCCTGGGTTTGTGGTCCACAGTGGATGCCTGCTGCCCACAGTGCTGTTTGGGCAGCCCAACACAGGAATCACGTCAAGTCCCTCCCAGTACCAAGAGCAACTAGGGCAGGAAGCAGGCTCACATCCGAGGCAGCCCAACACACATTAGGCTGTAGTAGTCCAGTAAGGGCTTGCCTTTTGACATAAATTTGCCCACTCTCAGGGCACACAGACACAGAAAAAGAATATTCTTTGTCCTCACTGGATTTAAGGCTTGTATTTCCTGACATTTGCTTGTGTTTTCTTTGATGTTAAAATTACCTGGGTAAAGAAACTTTCAGACACTAAAAAAAAAAAAAAAAAAAAAAAAAAAACAAAAGCACACTCTCTGGAGGCAGAGATGCAGCTGGTGATGCCACATGCATGTCCAGGATGCCAAAGGTCCCACACACTCACAGGAAGGAGCTGCATGGACACCCAGCTTCCTAAACTTGCTGGCCCCAAACCCTCAGTGAAATGCACTCTGGGCCAGATGCTCCTTGAGGCCAGAGCACAAGACACAGTGAGGTAGGTACAGCAGCAATTTGTCAGGCCCACCCTGGGGCTGGAGGGGTGGGGCACCTCAGTGCCTCTCTGCAGCCTCTGGCGCTCCTGGAACCGGGTCACTGGGTCCCCACACTGCAGACGGCTCTGAAACCCATGGGTGGTCTCTGCAGTGTGGCGGGGGTGGGGGGGGGTGGGTGTTTGCTGCTGGGAAGCCTGAGCTCAGACAGTTAAATAAGTCTTTATTTGGGTGGGCAGGAGATGGGGAAGGCAGAGAAGGCTTGGATGCATCTGCATCCAGGGACATCCCCAGGCAGGTGGTACCAGTTCCTCAGGTGTACCAGCTGTGATGCAGGGGAGCAGAACCCCTGGGTGTGGTCACTTCTTCCCTCAGACCTCCTATCGGCCTGGCCCGGCTTCGCTCACCCTCTGGGGGCAGAACTGTGCAGCAGGTAGAGAGATAGGACTAGGCTCAGAGTTCCACGGCCCATCCAGTACAGGCTGTAGCCCAGCAGGCCAAAGAAGTCAGCCTTTGTGGCCATCCGAGACCCTCTGCCAGAGATGGGCAGTGAGGGGACTGTCATGATCTCCTGGATGTTGAGGTCGGTGCTCCAGTTCTTCTCAATGCCAGGCACATGACCCATGCCAACAACAACCACTACCACAGATGGGACACACTTCCTGGGCTCTGCATCAGAGCTGCAGGGCAGTTCAAGACATCGGGCACCCTGCCGCAGCATGTAGCTCAGATAGACTTCCCGCTCTGAGACAATGGTGCCATGCAGGTCGGGAAACTCGCCAATCATCTCTGCCATCATCTGCTCTAACTGGTCCTTCTACTTGCAGCGCTCCACATCATCCTTGCTGATTGGGTCAGACAGGAAGCACAGACATCAGGCCAGCTTGAACTTCTGCCAGAAGGAGAGTGCAGCAATGGCTCTTTTAAAGGTGACTAGGATGGGTCGGTCACCCAGATGGAACTTGCAGAATGGTACCTTGCTGGCCTCCTTGAAGGCCTTCCTGAACTCCCCACCAGGGGCCATGCCCAGTTGCTCAGTGATATGGGCGGACACCTTCAACAGCAGCATCTGCATGAGCCATGAGGTGACTCAGAATGGCCATTTTCCGAAGGTCTAGCCTGATCCCTACTTCCCCCTGGTTTGGCTGCTCTGCTCTTCCTGGTGTCTGTTTTCTGCTCCCTATACCACCGGTCCCCTAACCAAGTTTTTGTTGTTTGTTTGTTTGTTTAGATCTACTAGCCAGTACCCAAGACTTCTTGTTTGTCAGTCATAACATAACCCACTATGAAACACAGCAATTTCCTGTGCTGAATGAATAATAGACAACTTCACATTTGGAGACAGCGGTGTGTCAGTTGTCCTCGATATGAAGAGAACATGCTGGTGTGTGTGTTTGTGTGCATGTGTGTGAGTGCACGCCTATGTGTGCATGCTGGTTGCATGTGTACATATATGCATGCAGTGTGTTGACACATGTGTACATGCACATATGGATTTGTGCATATGTGCATATATGTGGTGGTGCTGAAAAAAATAAAAGTCAGGCGCCATGAAGTCTCTCAGGCAGGTCGCGTACCGGTCAAGAATTCCAACTTGCCGATAAGTAAGTTTTATGGCCGAGACATCTGGCTTACTGATAAGTAAGTTTCATGGCCGAGACATCTCCAACTCACTGATAAATAAGTTTTATGGTTGAGACATCTGGCTTAGTGATAAGTAAGCTCCCCGCTCTCCCTGTAGCATTTTGTAATAGTTTAAATTAACCAATAACCGCGTTTCTGCTTCTGTATCCCGCTTCTGCTCTATAAAAGTGCCAAACCCCAGCCTGTAGGCACGCAAGTCCCCCGAGGAGACTTTGTGCCCACAGGTACCTGTGTACTAAATAAACCTCTTGCTGTTGCAACCCGAAGGCTGGCTTGTCCTCTGTGGTTTCACTCTTACAAGTGAGTTCATAGTGGTTGTTAACTTCTCTCAGTGAGCATAAGTTTTTCAATATGAATAAACAATGTGGTATCTTGTGGAAAACATAAAAGATCAAAGTCACTGTAAACCATGTTAAGACATTGGAATACACATTTAGTAAACAGTTGATGTGGAACAGGACAACAATAATGCTGGCCTTGACACTTGATAGAAAATTTTTTCTAGTGGTCCTTACTAACATGTAAGGTGATAAAGCATTTGCAACACTATTTTGTGGGGGGATGAGACAGGGTCTCCTGTAGCCCTCAGCTGGACTACAGAGACTTGGGTGGCCTTGAATCCACCTGCCTCTGCCTCCCAAGCACTGGGATTAAAGGCCTGCACCATCACACCAGGTATTACATTTGCAATTCTATTAACTTTACACTAGTTCCTGCTGGTATGTTAATTAGCTCAAGTAAGAACACCAGAGCTGGCACCACAGCTGCAATTAGACTCATGGATTGATTACGTATTAAATAAGTGTATGTCTATGTTATCCATCAATGTTCTTCACCGACCAAATAGGAATGCTAAAGTGAGATGTTAGATCTCTCCCACCCCCTACATCTTTCAAGTTCTGAATAGCAGCAATATTCTTTACAATCCCTCCAGAAATGCAACATGATTTTGGCTCACATTTTCTCTGATACAGGATTTTAGTCATTTCCATTCCAATTTCCCAACCACAATAGCCCTCAGTTCACAAGCCATGGAACCAATGTGAGGATTATGCCAAATTCTAAGGAGATTTATGCAAATTATGGACTCTGGAATAGCTACAGGATGAATTTAGGCACACATTGTTAACCTAAGTCAGACTTTGGGTGCAACTCCATTGATGACTTCAACTTCATATGCATTGGCATTAACTTGAGGGGAACAAGCCTGTCTGGGCTCTGATATAAACAATCTCTATTCAAAGACAGTATGGCAAAAGTGAC